TGCTTGTGAAAAGTCAAAACCTGATATTGTTGGCTAATTTATATAATTATAGGTAATTAATAATTATGTCAAGTAAATATCATTACAGAAATTTAATAAACTTACTAAATTACATTCCGTTAAAATTAAAGAAATTCTGCAAGGTTTTATTATATTTGATAATTCAGATTCTGATTTCATTATATCAATTGCTTCTTGGCCATTTGTTGCAAAAATTGTTGAATAACCAAATTCTGAAAGTTGCTGAAGCGTATTCTAAAAGATGCAATCAATCAATAAATTTGTAAAAAGATGTATTTGAAATTTCAAATATATAATTACATTTAAATCAGTGGAGTTATTATCCTATAAATAAAAATTGAATAAATATCAGCCATTACTTTGATACAGTATATGACATTTAATTAGCAGTAATTAAACAATGCATACCACGCATAGAATGCATTTACTTTTAGAAACGGATCTTGACCTACTTTTAGAATCATTTTTGTTTTCATTTTCGAATAAATCTAGATTTTCATCAATTCTTTTCAAAGTATTTGTAATCTCACTTATACTCTCACCAAGAAAATTTTTGTCGATAATATTATTACAAGTATTACTCAGATTTGACAATTGACTAATAAGCTTTTTCCATGTAATTGGAGTATAAATAATAGCAGTTTGTCCTTCAACTTTTCTAATTACTCTTTCTGCCAAATCTTTTCCTCTATGACCCGAAGGCACTATAAATGTTATTAATAAATCACTACTACATAAATTTATCTCTCTTACAGTTTTTATAACCTCTTCTTTGTTTTTTTCATAAAGTCTGATAAGTACTATATCATATGCAGATTGATTATATAATTTTTTATAATTTTTCATTTCTTGAATACTTTTATCGAAAGTATCAAATGCATCAACTTTTCCTACACACTCAAGATATTTAACCATAGCACTTCTCGCACTTTCTACAGGATGAACTATTAACATTCTTTTTAATTTTACAGAATGTGACAATGAGTTAAATGGGAATTGTGTTGTAGATGATGATGATAATAATCCAATATTCCATGTAAACCAAAATTTACTTCCTTTTCCTAACTGACTTTCAGCATTAATTTCACCACCATTAATTGATACCAAATTTTTACATATTGAAAGGCCAAGCCCTATACCATCTTGTCGTCTAGTTATTGATGAATCTACTTGTGAAAAGCTATCCCAAATAGATTTCATATATTTATATTCAATTCTATTATATTTATATTAAATTATTATATTGCATAATGATAAAGAATTGTATTACTACTAATTAAAAAGATGTAAATGATTATGATTAACTTACCCGATACCAGTATCATGTATTTCAATTAATAAATAACTATTTTTATCAATTTGTTCAAAAGTTTGGCCTTTATCATTGGTTTCTAGTGAATGAATTGAAGCTTTTATTTCAATTTCACCGGCCTCAGTAAATTTTATACTAATTAAATTAACAAAATAGTTATGATAATAATAATAAAGTTATTATAAATTATAATGAAATTAATGAAAAAAAAAAAAATTTATAAAATAATTACGAATTTGATAATAAATGAAACAAAACTTGTTTCAGCCTATACAACACATGAAATAAAGTTAATAATAAGCACTTACGTATTTTTATACACAAGTTGTTTGATTTACAAATAATTACCTTTCAGAATCACTTTTAACATATCTTGGAAACTTGTTCAAGTCATAATTTAAAATTATTTCAATTTGTTTGTTTCCAGCTTTTTCTACAAACACCTCAATTGTATTTTCAAATAAATCCAATAAATCAAAAGTTTTATTTGTTAATGTGACTTTATTTGCTTCTAATTTTGCAACATTAAGAATATCATTTACTATAGATAATATAGAATCAGAAGCACGTAACACTATACTAATCATGTATTTTTGATCATCTGTTAGAGATGCATCCTCGAAGGAAGAAAGAATGCCCACTATCGCGCTTAATGGTGTTCGTAATTCTGCAATAAAAAAGAAAAGAATAATATTTAGTTAGTAAATTATATTAGAAATACTATAACAGATTTAATTCAATACATTATAAAGATATTTTAAATTCTATACCATGAGAAGTATTTGCTAATATTTGACTCTTTGTATGATTCGCAATTTCTTCAACTTGTATTTGCATTTCTTTTTTTAAATTCTCTTCGGTTAATTCTTTATAAGTAATAGCTACACCGATTTGATTTGCTAGGTGT